CGTGAGTGTGCGTGTGAGTGAGTGTACGTGTGCGTGTGCGTGAGTGAGAGTGCGTGTGCGTGAGTGTACGTGTCCGTCTGTTACTGCGTGAGTGTGCGTAAGTGTGTGTGTGTGTGCGCTCCTTCGTGAGGGTGCGTGTGAGTGTGTGTGTTTCTAAGTGAGTGTGTGTGTGAGAGAGAGTGGCCGTGCGCGCGTGTACGTGACGTGTACGCTGCGCGAGAGTGCCCGTGCTAGAGCGTGGTGCGTGGGGATTCTGCGCGAATCTGCACGAGTGTGCGAGCATGCACGCAGGGGCGTGCGTGAGAGTCTGTAAGAGTGTGTGTGTGTGAGAGTCTGTGTGTGTGTGAGTCTGTGTGTGTGTGAGTCTGTGTGTGTGAGAGTCTGTAAGAGTGTGAGTGTGTGTGTGTGAGAGTCTGTGTGTGTGTGAGTCTGTGTGTGTGAGAGTCTGTGTGTGTGTGAATCTGTGTGTGTGAGAGTCTGTGTGTGTCTGAGTCTGGGTGTGTGTGAGAGTCTGTGTGTGTGTGTGAGAGAGTCTGTGTGTGTGTGAGTATGTGTGTGTGTGTGAGTCTGTGTGTGTGAGAGTCTGTGTGTGTGTGTGAGTCTGTGTGTGTGAGTCTGTGTGTGTGAGTGAGAGTCTGTGTGTCTGAGTGAGAGTCTGTGTCTGTGTGAGTCTGTGTGTGTGAGTGCGAGTCTGTGTGTGTGTGAGTCTGTGTGTGTGAGTCTGTGTGTGTGAGTCTGTGTGTGTGAGTGAAAGTCTGGGTGTGTGTGAGTCTGTGGGTCTGTGAGTATGTGTGGGTGTGAGTCTGTGTGTGTGTAAGTCTGTGTGTGTGTGAGTCTGTGTGTGTGAGTGAGAGTCTGTGTGTGTGTGAGTCTGTGAGTCTGTGTGGGTGTGAGTCTGTGTGTGTGTAAGTCTGTGTGTGTGTGAGTCTGTGTGTGTGAGAGTCTTTGTGTGTGAGTCTCTGTGTGTGTGAGTCTGTGTGTGTGTGAGTCTGTGTGTGTGTCTGTGTGTGTGAGTCTGTGTGTGTGAGAGTCTGTGTGTGTGTGAGTCTGTGTGTGTGAGTCTGTGTGTGAGTCTGTGTGCGTGAGTCTGTGTGTGTGTGAGTGAGAGTCTGTGTGTGTGTGAGTCTCTGTGTGTGTGAATCTGTGTGTGTGAGTCTGTGTGTGTGAGAGTCTGTGTGTGTGTGAGTCTGTATGTGTGAGAGTCTGTGTGTGTGTGAAAGTCTGTGTGTGTGAAAGTCTGTGTGTGAGAGTTTGTGTGTGTGTGTGTGAGTCTGTGTGTGTGAGGATTTGTGTGTGTGCGCGTGTTGTTGGGAATGCCGTGAGATGAGTGTTGGCCAGTGTGTGGGACAGGAGTGAGTGAGTGAGACGGGAGTGAGTGAGTGAGACGGGAGTGAGTGAGTGGGTGAGTGAGTGAGTGAGACGGGAGTGAGTGAGTGGGTGAGTGAGTGAGTGGTGAGTGAGTGAGTGAGACGAGAGTGAGTGAGTGAGACGGGAGTGAGTGAGCGAGTGAGTGGTGAGTGAGTGAATGAGACGGGAGTGAGTGAGTGAGACGGGAGTGAGTGAGTGAGTGAGACGGGAGTGAGTGAGTGGGTGAGTGAGTGAGACGGGAGTGAGTGAGTGGGTGAGTGAGTGAGTGAGTGAGTGGTGAGTGAGTGAGTGAGACGAGAGTGAGTGAGACGGGAGTGAGTGAGCGAGTGAGTGGTGAGTGAGTGAATGAGACGGGAGTGAGTGAGTGAGACGGGAGTGAGTGAGTGAGTGAGACGGGAGTGAGTGAGTGGGTGAGTGAGCGAGTGAGTGAGTGAGTGAGTGAGACGAGAGTGAGTGAGTGAGACGGGAGTGAGTGAGCGAGTGAGTGGTGAGTGAGTGAATGAGACGGGAGTGAGTGAGTGAGTGGTGAGTGAGTGAGTGAGACGGGAGTGAGTGAGTGAGACGGGAGTGGGTGAGTGAGTGAGTGGGTGAGACGAGAGTGAGTGAGTGAGACGGGAGTGGGTGAGTGAGTGAGACGGGAGTGGGTGAGTGAGACGGGAGTGAGTAAGTGAGTGAGACGGGAGTGAGTGAGTGGGTGAGTGAGTGAGACGGGAGTGAGTGAGTGAGTGGGTGAGTGAGCGAGTGAGTGGGTGAGTGAGTGAGTGAGACGAGAGTGAGTGAGTGAGACGGGAGTGAGTGAGCGAGTGAGTGGTGAGTGAGTGAATGAGACGGGAGTGAGTGAGTGGTGAGTGAGTGAGTGAGACGGGAGTGAGTGAGTGAGACGGGAGTGAGTGAGTGAGTGAGACGGGAGTGAGTGAGTGGGTGAGTGAGTGAGACGGGAGTGAGTGAGTGGGTGAGTGAGCGAGTGAGTGGGTGAGTGAGTGAGTGAGACGAGAGTGAGTGAGTGAGACGGGAGTGAGTGAGCGAGTGAGTGGTGAGTGAGTGAATGAGACGGGAGTGAGTGAGTGAGTGGTGAGTGAGTGAGTGAGACGGGAGTGAGTGAGTGAGACGGGAGTGGGTGAGTGAGTGAGTGAGTGGGTGAGACGAGAGTGAGTGAGTGAGACGGGAGTGGGTGAGTGAGTGAGACGGGAGTGGGTGAGTGAGTGGGTGAGTGAGTGAGTGAGACGGGAGTGAGTGAGACGGGAGTGAGTGAGTGGTGAGTGAGTGGGTGAGACGAGAGTGAGTGAGTGAGTGAGACGGGAGTGGGTGAGTGAGTGAGACGGGAGTGGGTGAGTGAGTGGTTGAGTGAGTGAGTGAGACGGGAGTGAGTGAGTGAGACGGGAGTGGGTGAGTGAGTGAGTGAGTGGGTGAGACGAGAGTGAGTGAGTGAGACGGGAGTGGGTGAGTGAGTGAGACGGGAGTGGGTGAGTGAGTGGGTGAGTGAGTGAGACGGGAGTGAGTGAGTGAGACGGGAGTGAGTGAGACAGGAGTGAGTGAGACAGGAGTGAGGGAGTGGGTGAGTGAGTGGGTGAGTGGGTGAGTGAGTGAGACGGGAGTGAGTGAGTGGGTGAGTGGGTGGGTGAGTGGGTGAGTGAGTGAGACGGGAGTGAGTGAGTGGGTGAGTGAGTGGGTGAGTGAGTGAGACGGGAGTGAGTGGGTGAGTGAGACGGGAGTGAGTGAGTGAGACGGGGGTGAGTGGGTGAGTGAGTGAGACGGGAGCGAGTGAGTGGGTGAGTGAGATGGGAGTGAGTGAGTGAGTGGGTGAGTGAGATGGGAGTGAGTGAGTGAGACGGGAGTGAGTGAGTGGGTGAGTGAGATGGGAGTGAGTGAGTGAGTGGGTGAGTGAGATGGGAGTGAGTGAGTGAGACGGGGGTGAGTGAGTGAGACGGGAGTGAGTGGGTGAGTGAGACGGGAGTGAGTGAGATGGGAGTGAGTGAGTGGGTGAGTGACACGGGAGTGAGTGAGACGGGAGTGGGTGAGTGGGTGAATGGGTGAGTGAGTGGGTAAGTGGGTGAGTGAGTGAGTGGGTGAGTGGGTGAGTGAGACGCGAGTGAGTGAGTGGGTGAATGAGACGGGAGTGAGTGGGTGTGTGGGTGAGTGAGTGAAACGGGAGTGAGTGAGACGTGGGTGGGTGAGTGAATGGGTGAGTGAGACGCGAGTGGGTGAGTGGGTGAGTGAGCGCGTGCATGCGCCGAGCTCACGTACGGCGCTGTGAGCGATGCAGGCGCGGCGCAGGGCGTCGCTCCCCGCAGGCAGGGCGCCCTGCAGGCTGAAGCCGCCCTGCTTAGCGGACACCGCGCTCATGGACAGCATCGCGCAGAGTGGCGAGCAGGAGAGGCTCGCGGGCTGGGAGCGCGGAGCCAGCCCCTCCCCTGCATCCCCCCCACCCCCCACAAATCATCACCCCCCCCACCCCAAATCTCACCTGACTGGGGGCCAAGTCTCGCGAGACGGGGCAGGGAGCGCGGGGAGCAGAGGGAGGAGACGCGGAGCTGGGAACAGGAGGGGATGAATGCAGAGGTGGAGGAGCGAGCGAGACGGGTGGATTTGATGATGCAAGGACGGGGGACGAGGGATGAAAGGGGGGGTGCAGAGATGGAGGATTTGGGATTCGTGGTTATAGGATGGATCAAGGGGTGGAGGCGATGGATGGAAGGAGGGGTGGGATGATGGAGGGAATGGATGCGTTCAGGAGGAGAGATGGAGGCAGTGGGGGGGGGGGGGGTGATCTTCGCGGCTGAGCATGGGGAAGTATTGCAGGAGGGGGATTGAGGCGAGGGGAACGGAGCGAAGGCCGTGACAGAAGCCGGGTTGGGATCGCCGGGTTCCTGGAGTTCGAGATTCCCACCGCCAGCGAGTTCGCGAGAGGGCCACGTGATGGTCTGATCCCCAACGACTCACAGACCGATCGGTTCTCACAGAGACTCGCACAGAGGCCCATAGACCTAAACAGACTCACATAGAAGCCCATAGGATTAGACTCGCACAGAGACGCATAGACCTAAACAGACTCACATAGAAGCCCATAGAATTACAGACTTGCACAGAGGCCCATAGACCTAAAGAGACTCACATAGAAGCCCATAGAATTAGACTCACACAGAGGCCCATAGACCTAAACAGTGACTCACATAGAAGCCCATAGAATTACAGACTCGCACAGAGGCCCATAGACCTAAACAGAGACTCACATAGAAGACCATAGAATTACAGACTCGCACAGAGGCCCATAGACCTAAACAGAGACTCACATAGAAGTCCATAGAATTACAGACTCGCACAGAGACGCATAGACCTAAACAGAGACTCACATAGAAGCCCATAGAATTACAGACTCGCACAGAGGCCCATAGACCTAAACAGAGACTCACATAGAAGTCCATAGAATTACAGACTCGCACAGAGACGCATAGACCTAAACAGAGACTCACATAGAAGCCCATAGAATTACAGACTCGCACAGAGGCCCATAGACCTAAACAGAGACTCACATAGAAGTCCACAGACTTATAGAGAGACTCGCATAGACCTACACAAACACGACAATAAAACCAACAGACTTGCAAATACCCAAAACCTTTATTGCGGTCGCGAATGCCGACGTGTTAAACAGACGCACACAGACTTACGGAGAAACACTCTCTCATAGAGACCCACAGACACGCACGGGCCCCGAGTCGCGAGGAAATTGCCTTCTCGAGTGCAGCGAGCCAGTGATGGTGTTAGCCCGGTCACTAATGGCTCCGCACAGAAACCCCGGCACATTAGACTCGGTTCCTCATTTTATTTGGCAAAACTCCAGCTCTGATAACGCGGTTTCCATCGACGCACCACGCTCTCTCCGCCACCACGCGCTCTCAGCAGGCCGCGACCTCTCTCCCCCGCGGCGTCTCCGCTACAAGGTGGTGCACTGCTGCCTGCTTGACCCCTCGGTCACGTGAGACAGCGCGGCGGCACCGGCCACGTGAGAGGACCATCGCCACGGCAACATCGCCACGGCAACATCACCACGGCAACATCACTATGACATCACCACAGCAACATCGCAACCAACATCACGATAGCCAAATCGGCATGGCAAGATCAACGTAGCAACACCGCCACCAACATCACCATAGGAAAAATTGCTACATCACCAGAGCAACATCACCATCAACATCACCATGTCAACATCACTACCCACATCATCCCAGTAACATATCTACATCACCACTAAATGTAACCGTTATTCACAATACAGTATATCGTGTGTGTGTGTGAACGTGAGTGTGTGTCGATGTCTTTCTCGAGGTGAACGAAGAGCGGAGGCGCAGTGGTTCGCGCAACGCACTACGAACCCGGAGAGTCAAGTTCGATTCTCGGCCACGGTCAACAAACGAGGAACTGGCGCTGCGCAGAAACCTCAGCACTGGGAAGACAAAGGCTGACGGGCTGGCGAGGGCCACACCTCCCCGTAGTGCCGCCCTTAATAGGTGCTCGCTAACGGCCCTTGCTGTGGAGGCTACATGGGGTGCCTTTGTCTTTGCGTGAACTCCCCCCGCGCCCTCTCCGTCAGTCCTCGGCTCTCGTTCGCTTCGGCGGCAGCGGGGAGCCCGGCGCGCCCCCACCAGCCCCTTCTTCTCTGTCGCCCTGGGGGGGGCCGTGACACGGCTCGGGCGGGGGGGGCACCCCCACGGACAGGATCGGCCCCCCCGCACCCCCGCCCCCCCCCTGCAGTGCGCCACTCTCCACCGGTGGCGGCGAGGTGACGGCGGTGGCGGCGACGTCGAACGCGAGCCTACGCACCGTGCCACCGCCGGGCGCCCCCCGCCACGGAGGGCCGGCAGCGGTTTCCTCGCGGCCCTCCCGGGGATCCCCCACGACCCCCGCGACCCCAGCGACCCCCGCGACCCCAGTGGCCCCCGCGACCCCAGCGAGCCGGGCTTCCAGCTCGTCGGTGTAGCGGTCGCTGCGCTCCAGGGCCTTGCCCAGGCGGCCGAGTTCGCGCCGCTGCTGCTCCAGCTTGGCCTGCAGCGCGGCGACGGTGGCGCGGCCGAACCTGGCGTGGGGACGGGGAAAGAGAGAGAAACCAAGTTAGAGAAGTTGCAGCGAGAGAGGGAGAGAGAGGGACGGCGCATTGAGCGTGGGGAGGCACCCCGGCGTGGCACGCAGCGAGGACTCCGTGCCGGGCACAGAGCCGTCGCTCCGAAGACGGCACCGCCAGAGATGCCCTCGATTCGCAATCGAGTTTTTGGTTCAGCCACCTAACGATCTGGGCCAAATTTGTGTCGTCAAGACCCTCCACCGGCCGACACGGCCGAGCAAATAAAATTTTGGCTCCGGGTGGTATCGGCCCGCGGCGAGATGAACGCCGTCTAACCGAGCGGCGTCTTCAGGTCTCAGGGAGTCAGAATAACTGCGTCGCCGCCACACTCACGGTCCACGACACCGGGCTGCGGAATCCTGGGTGCCGTCTCCCGCGTACGGTCCGGCCCCCCTCATCCACATCATCGCTCCAGGGCCCACGTGGTGCGTGCCACTTTGTGGTCAAGTCAACAGTGGCCGTCCTCTGGAGAGACTCGCCACCACCACAGGAACGCCGAATTTCCACCCCTGGTTCGGCGGGGGCCGACGAGTCCCGATGCCCCGTGCACGGCTCGTTTGTGCAGCAGGAGGCCGTCGTGGCTCGACGCGGCGCTGGGGTCGCGACCTGTGCGGGGAGCGGCTGTCGATCTCCATGCGCAGGCTCTGGTTCTCGCGCTGCAGGTCGACGTTCTCCTCCCGCAGCTGCGCGTGCACCTAGCACGGCACGGGGCACACGCACGCAGAGGCTGTCACATGCACGCGCGCGCACGCACGCACACACACACGGGTGCCTGGAAACGCACGCATGCTCTCATGCGGAGTGTGAGAGGTGAGGGAGCAACAGGTGAGGGAGCCACAGGTGTGAGCCGCTGGTGAGAGGATGGCAGTAGAGACGCGTGCGCGTAATCGACCGAAGAGGCTGATGGAGGGCAGTGACGGCTCTCCAACCCCCTCCACCCCCTCCCATCACAGCAGCTCCCGGTGATCAAGGTAATTTGTGAGTGCATCTGATCCCCTGTGCCGCCCTCCACCACGAACCCCCCCACCCCACCGCGTCGCAGTGAATTCCCACACTCGGCGCTCGCTTCGGGGCATCCGCCAAAGGGTGAGAGGGGTTCATTAGCGGCGTCGTCGCCCTCTCCCAGAGCGGAGAGATGTGTAACCCGGAGTGGATCTGCGTGCAACGGACCGGAGCATCTTGATCTCCCGGAGCGGGGGATGCGCAATGGCGGAGCCAGAATTTTCAGGTAGGGGGGGGCAACCCTTCCAGCAATACACTTTTTTGGGAGTTATTAATGAGTAAGGATTTGTCCCTTGCTTTTTATTCGACGCGTGTGCAGCGATGGCGCAGCCATCGATCGAGGGTCGAATTCGAACCGCGTTGTGTGATCGGCATCGCGCTCGCTGAAGGTGAATGTCTTCAGGGAAGTCGAGGACTCTGTATACGCAACTGCGCACAATTCTGTGAGTCACTTATAACCGCTTTGCCGTTACTTATGGACTCAATTATGGACTCAGACTATTGTCCTATCATCTCATAGAGTCCCTGGCACGTGATAATATGCTACACAGAATGCTGATTTATTACCAATAAACCCCAATGATCCAATCGAAATTAGGGATTTCGAGTCGGATCATTGGGGGGGCACGTGCCACCCCACCCCCCCACTGACGGTGATGCGTAACCCCCGAGCTTGTCACCGCAGATGCCAAAGCGGACCGTCATGTGACGGTAGCAGACCGCCGAGTTGCCCTCACCTCGCGCTCCCTGCTCATCTCGTTTCTCGTCGCTCGGAGCTCATCGCGCGCCGCCTTCAGCTTCCCCGAGAGCGCGAGTAGCACCGCCGGGTCGACCTCCGACCCCGCGGGCCGGCCGTCGACCTCCGACCCCGCGGGCTCGCCCGGATTCGCACGCAGCTGGGCCCAGAGAGCGTTGTTCTCTCCCTGCAGCCGCTCCACCTCCACCGCCAGCGTCTCCGCCTCCTCCTGGGAGTGAAGGGGACACGGGGGTGAGGGCGAGGTAGCAACGTGACCTGGTGCGTCGGGCGCAGAGTGTCCGTCACGGTGTGTCTGTGACTGTGTATCCGCGACACGGTGTGTCTGTGACGGTGTATCCGCAACACGCTGTGTCTGTGACGGTGTTTCCGTGACGGTGTGTCCATGACGGCAAGTCCGTGACGACGTGTCCGTGACGGTGTTTCCGTGACGGCGTGTCCGTGACGGTGTTTCCGTGACGGTGTGTCTGTGACGGTGTTTCCGTGACGGCGTGTCCGTGACGGTGTTTCCGTGACGGCGTGTCCGTGACGGTGTTTCCGTGACGGCGTGTCCGTGACGGTGTTTCCGTGACGGTGTGTCTGTGACGGTGTTTCCGTGACGGTGTGTCTGTGACGGTGTGTCTGTGACGGTGTTTCCGTGACGGTGTGTCCGTGACGGTGTGTCCGTGACGGTCTGTCCGTGACGGTGTGTCCGTGACGGCGTGTCCGTGACGGTGTTTCCGTGACGGCGTGTCCGTGACGGCGTTTCCGTGACGGTGTGTCTGTGACGGTGTTTCCGTGACGGTGTGTCTGTGACGGTGTTTCCGTGACGGTGTGTCCGTGACGGTGTGTCCGTGACGGTGTGTCCGTGACGGTGTGTCCGTGACGGTGTGTCCGTGACGGTGTGTCCGTGACGGTCTGTCCGTGACGGCGTGTCCATGACGGCGTGTCCGTGACGGCGTGTCCGTGACGCCGCGTCTACACGACCGAGCGATCGTTAAAGATATCCGTCACGAGTCCACCGCTGAAGCCGTCCACCGGCTCGCTCCCCGGCCTCCACGCAGGAGCTCTCGACCTCCGCATCTCGACGCACCTCGTACTCTCTCCGCAGCACCTCCAGCCGCGCCGATCTCAACCGCCTCCGCTGTGTGGGGCTCCCAGGAGCGTGCGGGACGTCGCCCCCACCTGGGCGGGGAGGGGGAGGGAGGCAGTGCAGGGTTAGAAGCTAGGGTTGAGATGGAGCAGGTTAGGGGCTAGGGTTGAGATGGAGCAGGCTAGGGGCTAGGGTTGAGATGGAGCAGGTTAGGGGCTAGGGTTGAGGTGGAGCAGGCTAGGGGCTAGGGTTGAGATGGAGCAGGTTAGGGGCTAGGGTTGAGATGGAGCAGGTTAGGGGCTAGGGTTGAGATGGAGCAGGTTAGGGGCTAGGGTTGAGATGGAGCAGGTTAGGGGCTAGGGTTGAGATGGAGCAGGCGAGGGGCTAGGGTTGAGATGGAGCAGGTTAGGGGCTAGGGTTGAGATGGAGCAGGCGAGGGGCTAGGGTTGAGATGGAGCAGGTTAGGGGCTAGGGTTGAGATGGAGCAGGTCAGGGGCGAGGGTTGAGATGGAGCAGGCTAGGGGCTAGAGTTGATATGGAGCAGGCGAGGGGCTAGAGTTGATATGGAGCAGGCGAGGGGCTAGGGTTGAGATGGAGCAGGTTAGGGGCTAGGGTTGAGATGGAGCAGGTTAGGGGCTAGGGTTGAGGTGGAGCAGGGTTGAGGTGGAGCAGGCTAGGGGCTAGGGTTGAGATGGAGCAGCTTAGGGGCTAGGGTTGAGATGGAGCAGGCTAGGGGCTAGGGTTGAGGTAGAGCAGGGTTGAGGTGGAGTAGGTTACGGGCTAGGGTTAAGGTGGAGCAGGGTTGAGGTGGAGCAGGGTAGGGGCTAGGGTTGAGGTGGAGCAGGGTTGAGGTGGAGCAGGTTAGGGGCTAGGGTTAAGGTGGAGCAGGGTTGAGGTGGAGCAGGTTAGGGGCTAGGGTTAAGGTGGAGCAGGGTTGAGGTGGAGAAGGTTAGGGGCTAGGGTTGATGTGGAGCAGGTTAGGGGCTAGGGTTAAGGTGGAGCAGGGTAGGGGCTAGGGTTGAGGTGGAGCAGGGTTGAGGTGGAGCAGGTTAGGGGCTAGGGTTAAGGTGGAGCAGGGTTGAGGTGGAGCAATTTGGGGGCTAGGGTTGAGGTGGAGCAGGGTTGAGGTGGAGCAGGGTTGAGGGTTGAGTCGTCGTCTTATCCCACGCCGTGGGGTTGCTCCCCGGCCGCAGCGCTCACCGATGAGGCGTGCGCACGGCTTCTCGGCGGTCACCGGGCAGCGGCACACGGGGCAGTGGGGGCTCGTGCGTAGCCACAGTTCGATGCACGCGGCGCAGAACACGTGCAGGTTCGGGCAGCACATGGGCTCCTGAACCTGCGGAGTCGGGGAGAGGAGAGGGTCAGGAACACCGCCCGATTCGCGCGGCCAAGATGCTGGCAGGAGCGTGACAAATATCCAGGGAGACTTCTTCTCTCTGCACGGTCGGGGTGGGGAACCTTTGCCTCGATGAGGCACAATCGAGACTTTCTCATCACCGTCCCTCCACATAAAATATAGATCCAAGTACAATTGTTCACATTCCATCAGCCACACGGCATTCTGACAGTGCGTCATTTCAGCAGCATTGGTTCAACACGAGCACGCCTTGAATCAATTCTGGAGAAATGCCGGCATCTATTACCGCTGTTCATCGCACTGCTGCTTCTGCCAGGCCTTTGCGAGAGGTGAGGGTTTTGCTGTGGTTCTCTCCGTGTCGTGCTGCACGGCAACACAAACCTTTGCCGTTTGACCATACTTCACCACGCAGCCGCAGTATGGATTGGTGAGTGGGGGGCCAGGACTGGTTCAGATAATACTCGCCAATGAAGGTATCCGTGGCCGGGAATTAAGCTCAGTTTGTGGGTTTCAGAGCGCAGTGAATTAACCACTGCGCGCCACCGCTCCACCCCGTAGCCATTCAATGCCAGGTGAGTGTCGCTGGATGAGAGCAGAAGTTTATCTTCTTGGTTCTTTCGGTAAAGTCACGTAGAAGGGAAGTAATAAAATAATAAAAATAAAACATAATAAAATAATTCTCACGACGTTTCGGCCACAACGCAAGCTGAGGACGGCTGCTTGCGTTGTGGCCGAAACGTCGTGAGAAATATTTTATTCTTTTATTTGTGTGAATGAGTTTCGTTTGAAAAGAGAATGATGATGATGAGTGGTGTATATGGATCAGCTATGGAGAAAGAGTTATTAACAATCGTCATGGAGTTTGACGAATATAATGCGTGATGAAGAGGTTGCGGAGTTTCACGAGCGATGAGAACGATGGGTGAGGACTGTGCGTAGTGAAGGGGGTTTGCCGTACGAGTAATTGCTGCGATTGATTCGGAGATTGATTCGGAGTGTGTGTTGGAGAGATTGCGGAGTGAGAATTCGTGCTCGGGGGGGGGGACTGACGAGCGCTGGTGGCGAGGAGTTGATGCGGTGGCGGCCAGCGGCGAGTGTCGTGCAGCAACGAGCAAGATTGTTGATGAGTTCAAGTTCAAGTTCATTTATTAGGTATAGCCCTGTGAGCCATTCAGCTCTTGAATCGGGTGCAACCGCAACAAACAAAAAACATGAACAAAAACATCTTAAAGTGAATATGTGACTAAGTGCAAACAGAAAATTCAAGAAAAGACAGCAAAAATATTGCAGAAAAAACACCGTACACCAACGCTGTGTGCCAAAAATCCCAGTGGGATGCAAGTCAAACAACAACAACCACAAGACAGCTTAGATTAAGGCCATCAGTCTAACTCTGTACTACAACAAACAAACCTGGCTAAACCAATACACTTTTCGAAATCACCAAAATAAAGCCATGAAAGCAATGAAAAAGCAACCATAGGAACTGTGACGGTGCCTGAGTGTGCGGGCGACATGAGTGGTGGGAGGTGGACCGCTCTCCCCGCAGCCTTCGGCGTTTACCCTGTTGAGGCAGACGTGGCACGACACGGGCAGCGTGAACGAAAGCGACACGCCCCGGGCACACGCGGTGCCAGACGCAGCCGGCGGTTCCAGTAATCCACGTGTCCCGCCGCCGCCGCTGGGCGCCGCCATGTCCGAAGCGACCACGTGTCCAGGAGGCCCCGCCCACCGTTTGGTGACGTCACGCGGCCACGCCCTTTGAACCGGCGCGAGACACCGGAAGAGGCCCGGGGACTCGGAGCGGTGGATGCTCGGGTTGGACTCCGATTGCAACAACAACCACCACCACCACCACCACCAAGAAACAACAACAACCACCAACAACCTTCAACAACCACCACCAAGAAACAACAACAACCACCAACAACCTTCAACAACCACCACTACCACCAACAACAACCACCAACAACAACAACAACCTTCAACAACAACCACCATCAACAACAACCACCACCAACAACCTCCACCAACAACAACAACCACCGCGACGAGGCGGAGTGAGAGATGTCAGCGGCGTGATCAGCACGCACGAGGAGGAGGCGGCTTCGTAACGGTGCGAGACGTCCCCCGCCACGTGGACGACTTTCGCGGTCGACTCGAGGCGACTCGAAGTCGCCCCGAAGTCGCTCGCGGCACGCGGACCGAGTCGAGTCGTCCCAGCGGCGACAGAGCGGAGAGAGCGGCGGGGTCTGTGGGGGGAGGGTGCCCCCAGCACCGGGGGGAGGGGGGGGGGCTCGCAAGGGGTAAAGGCGACCCCGCAGGGGGCAGGGGGTGAGGGGGGGCAGGGGGTGAGGGGGGCGAGGGGGCCCGCAGGGGGCAGGGGGGCGAGGGGGGTGAGGCCGCCATGGGCTTGCTGGACAAGCTGCGCAAGGAATGGTTCCTCATCGGCATCGTCGCGGCCATCGGCCTGGCGCGGATGGAACCCAGCATCGGCGTCAAGGGCGGTGAGTGGTGTGGGGGGGGTCTGATGGGGGTGGGGGTCTGATGGGGGTGGGGGTCTGACGAGGGAGGGGGTCTGACGCGGGGGGGGGGGGGGGGTCAGCGTGACCCCTTGGGAACGGGGTCCGCGCGGGTCCCACCACAGCAGGTGCCGCGGGGTCGGTGGGAAGACCGGGAGTGGAGTTCGATGGGGGGGGTCCGGAGTGGAGTTGGGGGGGGGGGGGTCCGGAGTGGAGTTGGGTGGGAGGGGGTGTACGGAGTGGAGTTGGGGGGGGTCCGGAGTGGAGTTGGGAGGGGGGTGTACGGAGTGGAGCGCGACACGTGGCACCCCTGACGCGCCCGGTGTCCGCCTCCACGTGTCGCGCCTCGCAGCCCCCACCCCACCCCACCCACCCACCGACCCCCGCGTGTGTCACGACGCGTGCGCGCTGTGGGGGGGGGGGGGGGTCTGCACGGCCGCCTGTGCTGCACCTACACGCAGACAGACAACGACAAGACAACGAGAGGATTGATGTCTCGGGTCTCGGGTGGTCGAGACTAATGACGGAGGGCGAAGCCCCATGGAGGGGGGGGGGTGACGGAGCGCTCGCTTTGGTGACGGGCATCGTCGCTGCGTCCCAGCACCGTGAGAGATGTCGAGGGAGGATTCCATGCAGCAGTGGATAGGTCGTGGCTGCTGTTGCCGATGTGATGGCCGGTATTTAACAACAACAAACTATTGACGATCGTTCTATGGGTATGAATCGTCCTTAAAACCACCGGTCCACAAGTTTCAGATGACACTGTTGTAAGCAGGCGATAAACTCGGGGATGAGTTTCCTCGGCTCGAGTGGCCGAGGGAATTCGTCTGCCAGTAGGGGGGAGGCGATGATTACTGGCTCGAATCCCAGTCGAGTGATTTGCGGCATTAATTTTGGAATTTTGGCAGATTCGGACCCAGGCGCTGGCACGCGGTGGCCTCCTCTTGCGACTGGCGTCACGGGGTCTCTCGCGCCCACCGTGAAGCAGGCGACGCGTAGTGGATTTCTTTTAGGGTTGATGCACACAGCGCAGTATTTACCGGGACGGCCGCTGGAATGGAACCGTGAACCTTTGCAACAAGCGGCGAACGCACCACCGCTAGGCTATCACCCGGGACCTGGGATATCAAGCGGATGGGGGGGTTCCCGGGGGGGGGGTCCACGGAGGGGGGGTCCCCGGGGGGGGGGGGGAATCCCCGGGGGGGGGGGGGAGTCCACGGGCGGGAGGGGGGTCCACCATTTAATTATTTGCAACCGGGCCTTTTCAACTCGCGCTTTGCTGCCCATGCCGCACACACCGCTCGTGCTGCCCCTGCCGCTCTTCCCGTGCCGCGTGCACCGCGCGTGCCGCTGCCGTGACACTGGCACCCATGCTCGTTCCCAGGGCCCCTGAAGCCGGAGGTGACCATCACCTACGTCGCCGTCTCGGCCATCTTCTTCAACAGCGGCCTCTCGCTCAAGACGGAGGTACGGCGAGGAGGGTGGTGGGGGGCTGGCGGCGTCTCCTTGCCGCGTCTCCCCCCTGGGGCGCAGGCTCTCCCTGGCGACAGGGCCACCGGCTCTCACGCTGTGTGTGTGTGACGGTGCTGGTAACGAGCTTATGTTTGTGTGTGACGGTACGTGTCAGATGGAACTGCGTGTGTCTGACGGTACTGTGTGTGTCTGACGGTACTGTGTGTGTCTGACGGTACTGTGTGTGTGTGACCTCTGCGTGTGTGAGACGGTGCTGTGTGTGTGTGACGGTGCTGTGTGTGTGTATTTGACGGTGCTGGCAACGAGGTTGTGTGTGAGACGGTACGTGTGTGATGGAACTGCGTGTGCGTCACTGTACTGCGTGTGTGTGACGGTACTATGTGCGTGTGACGGTTCTGTGTGTGTGTGTGAGACGTTACCGCTAGCGATGCTGTGTGTGTGTGGCGCTGGGCGCAGGAGCTGACGAGCGCCCTGCTGCACGTGCGGCTGCACATGCTGGTGCAGGGCTTCACGCTCGGCTTCTTCCCGCTCGCCGTGTGGCTGCTGCTGCGGCTGCTGGCGCTCACGGGACTCAACCCGTGGCTGCTGCAAGGGTGCGCTAGAGACCAACGCGCCTTACCCCGCACCGCGCCCGGCGCCGCACTCGCCCCTAGCGGCAAGAAGCCCCGTGGGCTCGAATCCCGACCCGGGTGCCTCTCCCTGTGGAGTTTGTGCGTTCTCCCCCTGTTGTTGTGCGTGGGATTCCCTCCGGGTTGTCCTGTTTCCTCTCAAAGCTATAACACACACACACAGTGGTGGAGCTGGTATTGGCCACACAACGTCCCAGCTGCTGAACAATTACCTGCAAGCGACTCGATTGAGATCGCACGCATTCGCGACATCGCCGCTTGCTGCGAAAACTCGGCAGGGCCCTCCCGAATGTGAGTCTTGATACTCGGTGGGTAAACCAGGATAATAATAATGACAACTTCTTGGTTCTTTCGGTAAAGTCACGTAGAATGGAAACAATATAATAATAAAATAAAACATAATAAAATAATTCTCACGACGTTTCGGCCACAGGTGAAGACCAGGTCTGTCTGACCTGGTCTTCACCTTATGACGGCTGCTTGCGTTGTGGCCGAAACGTCGTGAGAATTATTTTATTATGTTTTATTTTATTATTTTTATTGTTTCCATTCTACATGACTTTACCGAAAGAACCAAGAAGATGAATCCCTGCAGTCACGAAAGCTTTAAATCGAAATAATGACAACATTAATTATAACGCGGTCATATATACTAGACCCGTACACTGCACTACACCGTGCCGCACTACTTGACACGATGCCCCCCTCCCGCCGTTGTACGACACCCCGCTGGGCCACGCTATGGTTTACGACACTGTGCCACACTGTCACGCGCACTGCACGGGAGTACACACCACGCGCTACGCCACCGCACGGCATGAATGTCTTTGTGCACGTGTGTGTTTACGTTTGTCTTTTCATGTAGTGCAGTGGGTTAACGCGCTGCGCTACGAACCCGGCGACCCGAGTTCCATTCTCGTTCATGGACAACACGAGTGACGATTATCTGAACTGGTCCTGGGCTTCCCTGAGTACCTGGCCTCAAATGAGTACCTGGTGCGGTGTGTAAACATTGCCACTGGGGAGGCAAAGGCAGCCGACTGTGGTGTTGGCCAGCCACTCCCTCGTGTGCCGTGCCAGCCTTCACAGGTGCCCCAACAGACTTATCTTTGTATGTGTTGATGTATGTGTGTGTGTGTGCGCGTGTGACAGGTTGCAGGTGGTGGCCTGCATGCCCCCGCCGGTCTCCTCCGCTGTCATCCTCACCAAGGCCGTGGGGGGCAATGAGGTGAGTGTGTGGCACCAGGCCCCACGTGTGGACGTTTTCCTCGCCCCACTAAACCATCATCGATTGTTCTGTCGTTATTTTGCACGCGATTTATCGCTCACGGGAGTAAACCAGAAGAATTAGAATTGATGACCTTGGTAATAACGAGCGGAACGACGCCAACGAGCACGAACCACCCCCAACTCTACGAGGGGGGTCGAGTGGCTGTGGAGCAGTAGGAACCGAAGGGTCTTCGTTGCTCGTGAAGCGCGGAGACCTGGGCCACCGGTCCTGCGCCGGGCCCGTGCTGGCAGAGCGAGACTCTGCCGGTGACGTTCTGCGGCTGCCCGGGGCCCGGTGCCAGGGAGCACCATCCATCAGTGTCGGGGCCCACGCGGGGCGGCACCCGCTTAATCCCCTCGCCCGCCACGCTCCCGCGCTCCCCGCCACGCGAACTTAACCCCGCGTGGCGGCACGCGAGCAGTCCGCCCGGGGTCAGCGACGACGCCGCCGCTCCGAGCCGGCGCCGCATGGCGCCCGCGAGCGGCTGGCGGAGGTGGCGGGGAGCACGACGCGAACGTTGGTGGGTCGCCACGTTCGCGATCGCCGGCGGAGAGAGGGTTAATGCGTTTGGGAGCGCGCGTTGCGCCCGCTCCCCGCTAATTGCCGCTGACGCCCTGCATATTACGGCGCGCAAACGGCCACCGGCACTCAGCCGCCCGTGCAATGCGAGCGAGTGTGAAGGCGCCCGCGCGTCGTTCACCTCCTCGCCGCGCACCCGTGTCCGATCCCTTCACGCCCCGCCGCCCACGACGATTGGCAGCCGCGAGCGATGGAGCCGGCGGCCAGGGTGGTCCGAATCGAGGGGTTCGGTCCCAGTGCGGGCACCTGTGTTGGAGTTTTTATGCTCTCCCTCTCCCCCTGTCCTGCACGCGTTTCCTCCGGGTTCTCGGGTTTCTTCCCATAGCTAAACAAATACAAGCCCACGCAGTGTAACCGGTATCCCAGTACCAACACATCACCTGGCAATCACTGATTTGGGATCACGCAGCAGCACCAGCAGCAACACCGCCCCTCCAGCGAAAACTTGGCAGGGCCCTCCCGAAAAAGACTCTGTCCTGCCACAAGCATAATAATATAAATAATATCTGCTCAGACCGTGTGGGGCCCTGGTCTTGGTTTGACCCTTAAGAGTACTCCCTTATGGCTCGGGGCGAGCTTGGTGCCACCGTCGAAGGTCAGAGGTTGCCGTGGGGGTGCGAGGTGCCCGCTAACGAGCGGTCGCGACTTGTTGCTGCTGCTGCGGCCGTGCGTGTTGATGGCCTCGCTGCCCGTGCTCATTCCCCGCTCCTTCTCTCCGCAGGCTGCGGCGATTTTCAACTCGGCGTTTGGGAGTTTCCTGGTGAGAGAAACGTGCGCACACACGGGCATTCATCCGTCATCGGCCACACACTCTCTGCAAACACAAAGACGACGATCCACCATGTAGCCTTAACAGACTGTAGCGGCAAGTGCTGTTAGCGAGCACCTATGAAGGCCGGAACGGTACACGAGGGGGTCGGTGGCCAGCACCACGCCCGACCGCCTTTGTCTCCCCAGTGGCGATGTTTACACACCGCACCAGGTACTCATTTCAGGCTTAGTCGACCTAGGGGAGGCGCGGGACCGTTTCAGATAATCGTCACTGGTGTTGGCCGTGAGCGGGAATCGAACCCGGGTCGCTAGGTTCATAGCGCAGCGCGCTAACCGCTACACCACCGTTCCCCACACACAGGAACACACACACTCGGTTAGACTCCCACAGAATCGCACGAGCGTTACTTGCACCTCGCTCTCTGCCGCCCCCCCACGATAGTTGGGAGGGGGGCGGGGGGGGGGGTCGTCGTGAAACCCCTGCGAGGCCCGACAAGGGGGGCGGGGTGCTGGTGGGAAGAGACCAACTCGGATCCCATTACCGCGCCCCCCCCCCCAATCCCCGTGCCCCTTGCCCCCCCTCGCCGTGTAATTGCGTTAAGCTGCTTTTACCCGCGGCGCCGCGCCAGGGTTCAGCCCCCGCTCGCCGCGGGCCCCCCGCGCCGCGCCGCCGCATTAGTCACGAGCGTCTGCGAGGACGAGCGCTCGGGCCGGCTGAGTCACTGCTTCCCGGTGAGATGGGGGGGCCTCCCCGGGGGGGGCGGGGGGGTGGGGGCACGTCGTGGGAGATTGGCGGCGTGTGGTAAGGATGGGGGGGGGTGGGCAGGAGAAAGAGAGCGAGAGAGAGGTGCGCCGGCCCACGGCGAGCTGATATGAACGGCGATTCGAGAAAGAACGGTGATCCATCCGCAAACTCTGGCGAGCGGCTCTTACCTCGTAGCTACCGCCCTCCTGTGCTCTGTGTGTCCTGGACTGTGCCACGGGAGCACGGAGCTTCGTCCATGAGATTTGTTTACTTTGTGTAATTAACCATCGATGGACGTAACACATCGGAACCAAACCAATACGTGATTTGAAACGTGAACACCAGCCACGTGGCTCCCAATCCCCCAGCAGTAACGTGTGTGCGTTGTCTTGAAAAAAACATCCGTAGGTAAAGAGGTGGTGGGTTTGGAGGATCTGAGATTTCCGGCATTCATCCAGCAGCGGATTCACCTTGGCCGATGATGATGAAGTTGGCCGATGATGACGATTATTAAAATGGCAGAAGAATAAGAAGTGGGGGACGGTGGATGTGAAGTCGACATGGATTAAATCTCCGGGCTGCCTCCGCGGGGACGCGGTTGGGCGCTCGGCGCGCATCCGTCGGGCGCTGTCGACGCACCGCCTGCGAGCCACGTGGTCGGTCGTGCCGGGGGGGGGGGGGGGGGTGAATCAATTATTCGCATATTATGCAAACGACGTGCGGATTATCGATGACCGTCAGGTTTAGGTGAACGGCGCGGAGCTGTGGTCGCGAGACGGGACGCAGAACGCGGGGCGGGCGGGCGGGCGGGATGAGGGTTTGAAGTGGAGATGAATGAGAATAGATTGCCGATTGCGCGCGCGTGCGCGATCGCAACGGTGCGTGTGGAACCGGGACCCGCTGTGGGGCGGTGGTGCCATCGCTCCTCCTGCATGGCGTGTCGCGGCGGCGGCGTCCTCCTCCGGCCGCGATCTCAAGCCTCGTCTCCCTCTCCACTCGCCCTTGCATCCCAATGCTCTCGTTAAGTTCAACTTGTGCCCATAAAACAATTGTATAACGGGCGAATGAATGAATGGGAGTGAATTGTTACGAGCCGAGTAGTCCGTGCGCTCAGAGATTGCCCAAGTGAGTTTATGGCTCCATGACTAAATAATAATAATATCTTAAATTCACCGTTCAGCCAAACAACCGTCTTGCGCGTCACGTCACGGACTCACTGTGTCACGTGTGGTGGTGACGTCCTTGTGACATCAGGGTGCCGTAACGACGCACTCGATTTCTAAGTCGTTCTGATTCATGAAGCATCAGCCGAGGTTTAGCCTGGATGGTGCTTGCATGGGCGACCACCACCATTTCGTACTTCAGGTGCTATAGGCTGCTGCTGCTGCGCAGCTTTGCGGTGGGCAGCAGAGGGCGGTGCGGCAAAACCCATCGCTCGACTGGCACCTCTGTGCTCCCCGCCTACACCATCCCACCGTGAGCGGCGTGGCGAAGTATGGCCAATGTAACCTCCACGAGCTGGACGGCGTTCGGAGGCCCTCGCCCAGAAATGGGTTGGCAGAAGGGCCGTACGTGCCACGTGCCAAGCTGCGCCGCACGGCCGGAGGGACCGCGGCCTCCGCTCGCGTGTTCATGGGGAACGGCCGAATGCTCTGTGGGCTGCGTCTCTCCCCGCGAGCAATCGACATGGAGACGCGGGAGGTGACGGGCTGAGAGTCGGCTCTGGCGTTGAGCTGTCGGAGCAGCTCCCAGCGGCTGGTGCCGCCCGCTCAGCTGGGCTCGGGGGTAACGCGCAGGGCAGCGCTTGGGCTGCGAGACAAATGATCTGCTGCTGCGTTGGCAGTGGTACGCAAGCACAGCAAAGAACTCGACACGTCCCGTGTCAAGAATAACAACACCACTGTGTGTGAGCTGAAACGTACACGATAGGCAGCGTTTCGGACAATGGCCCTTTGTCATTGTACGATTGGTGAAGATTTGTGAGCTTCTAACCTAAGCCTTCCACACACCTCCGTGTGTGTGTGTGGTTCTGTGTGTGAGTGTAGTTCTATGTGTCGTTCAGTTTGTGTGTTGGGTTGTCTGTGTGTGAGTGTAGTTCTATGTGTCGTTCAGTTTGTGTGTTGGGTTGTCTGTGTGTGAGTGGTTCTGTATGTGGTGCTGGCCACCCACCGCCTCGTGTGCTGTGCCGGCCTTCTCAGGTGCTCGCTAACAGAACTTGCCCCAACAGTCTGTTAAGGCTACAGTGGGATCTTTGTCTTTATAGATCTACGTGTGGTTTGTGTGCTTGTAGTTTTACATGAGGTTCAGTTAATGTGTGTGTGTGTGTGTGGTTCTGTGTGTGTGTGTTTGTGTCTTTGTAGGTCTTTGTGTAGTTCTGTGTGTGTGTGCAGCTATATATGTGTGTGTGTGTGTAACTCGAGTTGTATATATTGGGCTGTGTGTGTGCACGTGGTCCTGGCTGTGTAAAGCTGCGTGGCCGGGAGTGAGAACCATTCCCGGTTCACCTTGCGACAGAGATGTCCTCTGGCTCCTACACTATTTAACATCTTCATTGAGCACGTAGTTCAATAACTTTTTATGGCATGGCTACCTATTGGTCAAACGTTATGTCTGCTGATTATCTGCTAATTGCTGCCTTGCCGCCACGTGACCAAGGAGATTCTGTTTGGCCGCAATGGGTTCGAGAAGAGATGGACTGATGTTGTACAGGAGGATGTGGAGCTGGGTGGACTTGCTGATGACTGGTACCAGCGGTGTTAAGATCGGCCCCTATGGAGGAGGCTCGTGAAGGACGCTACTGGGCAGTTGGAGGCAGTCGCCCTCCAACAACAACGGAGGGCAGAGGAGCGACGCTCACAACAGCGAGCGCAGCTGAAATCCAGCAAGTTCGCACAGGTGGTGGCTCTGCCAGTATCTCTGTTAACCAATGGAACCTGGGTCTGTCCCATGACCTCCTGTCCGCAAACCTTCCACACTTCACATGGCCTCATAGTGCACCTAGCCTGGCACACGGGTGCTGCGTCGACGTGACCGCCACTCGGTGGCGAATGGCAGCTGTTGCGTGTGCGTCTGTGTGCTTCAGGTTTGTACGTATTACGTTGTGTGTGTGTGCACGTGGTCGTGTGTATGCGCATGCAGTTCGATGTGTGTGTGTATATTCTATTATCTGTGGAAAGCGGGAGTACAGCGGTTAGTGCACGGCGCTACGAACCCAGCGGTCTGAGTTAGATTTCCACTCGCAGCCAATATCGGTGACGAATATCTGCACCGGTCCTGAGCCCTCCCCTACGTCGACTCGCTCACGGCACTTGCCCCAACAGTCTATTAAAGACCGTGGGGGGGTTTGCGAGGGATCTTTGTTGTCCGTGCCGAGCCACGGGGTGGGGGAAGGGGGGGGGCCCGTAGACGCGTCGGCTCGCGTCGCCCGCCGCGTCCGTCTCGCTCGCAATTAAACGCGCTCCTGGGACTAACTCGATTGGGCCGCTCCGTGGCCGCGTTAACCGCGTTACGCGCACCCCGGTTAACCGCGTTACGCGCGCTCTAGATTAATGGCGCGGCCGCCGCAAACGATGTTTGTGTGGCGGCCCAGGCGCGCGCTCCGGCCTTCGTGCCGCCGCCGCCGCCGTAGTCGAGCAACGTCGCTGATTGTTACCCTCAAGTGGGGACGTTCTTGTTGTTGTTTGTGTTTCGGTAACAAAGTGCGGCGTGATTGCGTTATGTGCGTGTGCGAGTGCGTGTGTCAGTGTGTGGTGGGGAGCGGTAGTGTGGCGGTTAGCGTGCTGCGCTGCGAACCCGGCGACCCGAGTTCGATTCCCGCTCACGGCCAACACCGGTGGCGATTATCTGAACCGGTCGTGGGCCTCCCCTAGGTCGACTCAGCCTCACATGAGTATTTGGTGTGGTGTGTAAACATCACCACTGGGGAGACAAAGGCGGTCGGGCGTGGTGCTGGCCACCCACCCCCTCGTGTACCGTTCCGGCCTTCATAGGTGCTCGCTAACAGCACTTGCCCCTAAAGTCTGTTAAGGCTATATGGGGGATCTTTGTCTTTGTCAGTGTGTGAGTGCGTGTGTGAGTGCGTGTGTGTGTGTTTGGCAATGATTATTCAACATCGCCTTGCCAGGCACACTTAGAGAATGCTTCTGGAGCACCAATGTGGTTCCATCCCTGGGTTTGACCAGCAGGCTGATTAGTGTGAGGAGCTCACAGATCCTTGAAAGATCTGGACAGAATCCCAACGGTGC